AGAGAACGGAAAAGGAGAGATGGAGAGAGAGAAAGGCAGGCGCGTACCTAAGACACGTTATTCTTGTTCATTTCCAAGAATAAATCCGTAAGAATCCAGCTGGTCGCACAATACGAGTTTCTCTCAACAAAATACGTTACTCCCTCCCGTCTCCCACCATTTCAAACATTTTGTGAATTCCCCGATCTCCTAAATTCTATACACCAAAGGTTTCATTTATTTCTCTTTAACACTTTCACTGGAAATACCGAAATCTTATCTAAAAACTTATCATTTTTTCAAGAATTTCGCGATATTGCTCACATTTTTGTTTCGTATATCCCGTGGCAGTATACATTATATGTTTGTACAATGAGCAACTTTAATATTTGAACACTTGACAATTTTCGCTTTGTCGCTTTATATAACACTTTATATTTCTTTTGGAATGCAAAGATAAAATAATTATGATTAAATTACATTTTGTAATTACGTCGCTTAAAACGATTCTTCTAAAACGTGTTCGTAATACGTAATAGTATAATATTAATCGACAATCCTGTATGGAAGAAACGAATGTGTAATATCGCTTTGTTGTTCGAATATCTGAACAACGTCCAATATTTTGTACACGTACAGTGAGCAACTTTAATATTTGAACACTTGACAATTTTCATTTTGCCGCTTTATAACTTCGTTTACAATGTAAAATAAAATAATTAAGTATGTTACATTAAAGAATTAAATATGAGTCAGTCAATGTGTACAGCCAATTTGTTTACTTTGTAATGTTTCGCATAAAATAAAATTTCAAAAATACTATTTATTAGCAAAAGCTAGTATATTAATTAGTGACTTTGAAATTTTGGAACTCTAAACCTAAACCATAAGGAAAACGTTCCCTGCTGATGCTACTTGGGGCGCGAAGAAGAACACCTGGCAGCGTGAGTCACGAGTCTGAAACATGCATCCTAGCAGACCATGTGTCATTTCTTTTAAGCAGGCATTCATATCCTGTGGTGAACGAGCACCTTTTAAGTGAACTACAGCATCATCAATTGTTCGATAACATAATGCTTATTTCCATTACAATATTCGCATGATATATCTGCACGTATATTTTCCAAAGAAAAGACATTCGATATTTAATTTTTAAATCTTACTTAGAATCACAAGTATATTTTATTTACCTTTTTATACTCGGAATTACAAAATAATATATTTATTATGTTTACAATTAAGATAATATGTTTTAATGTTATTTTATTTTTCGAATTGTATACATTTTGTAATTACTTCACTTGAAACAATCGTTTCGATATACAGGGTGTCCCAAAAATGTTGTAACACCTTGAAAGGGATGGTTCAGGAGGTGATTTGAAACAACTTTTTCCTTAGCGAAAATGTTGTCCGAGGCTTCGTTAAGGAGATATTAAGCAAAAACCCTGACCAATCAGAGCGCGAGTATGCCGGTTGAGCGTAGGCTACGCGATAAGCGGTCGCGTGCATACGCTACCGCGGCCGCTCAAACGGTATACGCGCGCTCTGATTGGTCAGTGTTTTCCTTTAATATCTCCTCAACGAAGCCTCGGACAACATTTTTGCTAAGGAAAAAGTTGTTTCCAATCATCTCCCGAACCACCCCTTTCAAGGTTTTACAACATTTTTGGGACACTGTGTATATTTGTCATTAAATGTGGAAGTTTCCATCTTGATCGATTAATTCCTTGCCGAGTTACATCATATAATAGGAATTTTGCAATAACAACTATAAAAAATAATTAAATTCATACATTTTTGCAAATGTGATCTTCGCGAAAATCTGCCTGGTAGCAAAATGTAAGGTTTCATCGATTTCAGGCCGAACATAAGTGAAATGATGAAAATGAACCAAGGTCAATTTTTTTTTACGGGACCAAGTGGTAGTGATGCACCATCAGATGCGCGAAGTTTCAATGCGATTGGTCAAGCCAATTCGGCGTAATCGGGAAATAGACATTAAAAGAAAAAAGAAAAAGAGCATGACGAATAGAGTAACCTCCTCCTTTTTTGAAGTCGGTTAAAAACGAGTTGTACTCGAGTTGAATTTTAAGCGGTTGAGCCTTTCAGTTGTTGCAACAGCTCTAAATATGTATATCGCAATATTTCCAAGCAGTTTGTAATAATTGTTTTCCAGGGAACACAAACGGTTTTATAACGCTGCATTCTAACCGCACGTAAATTAGAAAGCCTCCCGTAAGGTAACAATTATACATAGAATGGTGGCTTAAAGGTTACTGCATAGAACCGACATGGGTCGTTCATCGATAGATCGAGGACTATTTCAGAAAGGATTCCAGGAACGTTTCGACGGAGAAATCGAGAGACACGCTATGCTCCCATTTCAACTGGTCGCATATATGGGCCTCATAGAGCCTGTTATCGTATCTGTTACCCTGTGGTAGAGCCAGGCAGCTTATCACAAACAAACAAACTCCTTTATGACGATTATACCCGGTTCTCTTCGAATCGACCTTTCCCCGAACTGGTATGGTCGTTCAAGGGCGCGCCTTCTGATCGAAGTCAACAACGATTGCCCGAAATATTACTTGCTGAACCCAGTATAACACAAATCCAACTGTATACATTCCCTACTTCGTAGTTATTCGATGAGATTCCAGGAAAATATTGTCTTTTTTTCGAGGTTTCTATCGAGAGTTGCGAGCCCTCTTCGAGAATGATAACATAATTACCAATTAACCCCTCGAGGGACGAATTTTATGTTTCGAATCTTTTTACAACAAAATTTTGATATAGTTTATTTTAGTTTACACGCGATAATCTATTAATCGTCTTTTTTCTATGACATGCAATACTTTCTTATCTGTTGTTGAGATAGCATTGTATGCTCTCATCATTATATGAAATATATTAAATAAATATTAATGTAAAAACGATTACAATAGATAAAATAAATATAGCATAACACGAGCTCATTTTAATATTGTATATTTTTTCATTCTAAAAGGTACTGTGATGGTAACGGTAATTTTGATATAAAAACAAAGATATAGCTACAAGAAATTTATAACATCCCTCAAGAGGTTAATATAGTTCCATAAATGAAGATACAGTAATAAATAACTAAATTACTGTTAACAAAAGTATATCCCTTTGCGTGTGTCTAAAAATGTGTATCATCTAATTGACTAACTTTCTTAGAATTGCATGGTGTATATAGTTCTAAAATAACAATGTAATTGCAAATTCAAGTGATATAATGGTGTAAAGATTATGACATCCATACTTATAAATTTTGAATGATAAACTTTATGAGACAAGTATTATTGACATTTGTAAATGACAAGCATTCAAGCAATAAAATGTTAATCTACATAAAGTATTGATCTTTATACCAGAACTGGATCAAACTTTGCTTGAATAATGGACAAATACAAATACTGTATATTATTGCATTCAACAGTTATTCAAATTAACTTTTATTCATGCAATGCGAAATATAATTTTATTTTATAATTCAGATTGAAATTATTATCAAACAAATAAAGCATAAAAAGTTGTTTATCTTTTATACATTCGAAAGTGTTTTTGCCTTTCTATGTTCTAAAGCTCTTGATCCTTTATTTGGACATACTTATTGTAATTTAGAATATAAGGATATTGGTTAATAGAATAAAAAAAATATTCATGAAGGACTAGATGGTTTGTTATTGAAAACGTTGCAAATAATTTAACATACACATTGGCTGCATGTTTACTTCATCAAAATTTGATCCAAGAGTTTTATCGCTGTATGATTACAATTACAAATATGGAATGACATAACGATTCCAAAGTGTGTACCACTTTTGTATTTATGGATAAAAATGAATTTAAACTGCGCATTAAAGGAGATAATATTAAACACATTTTATTTCACCAAGATATCAAATAGTAAGAAATATACTAATACGAACTATATCATTTTGTCAGGAGAAAAATGAACCTCTTCCACAACTTACATTTTAAATGTTATATCAGTTAAAAAATTGATTGAAAGAAGTATAATGCCATTTTTCTATGAATTCATCCTTTTCAGAGTTCCAACTTGATTCAACACATATTCTATTAATTATTTTCAAAGGAAAAATTAGATGTAAGAAGAAACATGAAATTTAAATGGTGTAAAAATAAACATTTAGAAGGATAAAGGTGAACGTACCTTCTATGTCCGTTCTCGAAGCGTCTCCTTTTCCGTGAACACAAGCTACAGCTGCAAACGGTACGCTTAGGACGTATAATATCACGAATTATTTCTTCATCAACGAAACAATTGATGTCTAAAGCTAACGCGGATTAATTTCACTTATTTCATATTTGTAACAAGATTTGTGCGCAAATTCGAGCTCGAGAAACATATTTTAGCGTCTCAAATAGGATTGTTCCGCCATTAGCGTTGCTAGTACAAGGAATCAACGCCAGGCGGCGCACACATCGGACGATGTAGAAAGCGCGCGCGAATTTGAATACGTATAACTGAATATGTATATACTCAGTTTAGAGTTATTATTAACTTTACCTTAGAGTACCCGCTAGACGTGCTGCTCCATCGGCATACTCGGGCTCTGATTGGTCGGGGTTTTCAATATTTTCGTTAAGGAAAAAGTTAGGTCATCTAGGAATGATGTGGAAATTAATTTGTTACTAGTACAAGTAACATGAAAGTTACAGAATCAAGAGTTGTGAGTTGGCTCGCATTTTCACCACGATAAAAGTTACAGAATCGACCCCCAGATGGATACAGATACAATAGAACAGAGATGGGTAAACCCCTAGGCTTCGAATAAATCTGAAGTTTTCCGATATGTTTGTCTCGTTTTCTCTTTTGAACATTTTACAAAGAAAGAAACGAGACAAACACATCGGCAAACTTCAGATTTATTCGAAGCCTGGGGTCTTGTCCATCTCTGAAGTTATTATTTATGTATATAAATAATAATGAACATATGCTACACTAAAAACAAGACATAACTGTTCTTGAACGATTATACATAACTCTAATATACAAATTAAATACAAATTTTAAAAATATAAATACATATTTTGTATGTGAGTATACTAAAATTTTAGTTATTTCGCCAAAAATTTTCTTTCTACTGACAACCAGTTTTTTTTATCGAGGACATTTACAAGAAAGTGAGGTTTGAGAAACACTGATTTATTCTATACCTTGCTATATACCAATATACTTTCCTCTTCTTTCTGATAAAAGCACTTTCGTGGTGTTAATAAAAGCTATTGTATTGTATATAATATATAGTTGAGTTACATCAAATTATGTACAAGCAGTTCAGTCAGTAAATTAATTTTTATATTTTCGAAGGAATACAAAGGAATGAATGGAACATTTCGTCTAGTATCTCCTTTGATTTGACTGTTGTGAACATGTGGAAAACAACAGTGTGTAACAATACTGAAGAGGTTGTTAGAAGTTCTATTGAAAAGTACAAAACTCTAATGGAAGTTATGTAAATTATTAAAGAATATGACACTTATTTAAAAACCATATTTCGAGTGTCTTTTTTTGCTGATAGAAGCACCGTTTTGACATAAATAGGTTGATTAGTACCTCAAGAGTGAACCGACGTCGCAATGATAGAATCTTCGACATGGAACTCAAAGAAAGACGAGACCATATACAAAGCAGCCGGTTCAATACATTTACGAAAATATGGACAGTTCCTTGAGAAATTATCAGAAAAAACCTGGAGGAAAGATTCTACGTTTGAATATTTTATAGAAGGTCCCCTTCGACTTGTTTACAAACCTGTTGAAGATGTTAGTCCTATATATCTAATAAAAATTGAAAATAAATATTTATTAAAAGTACTTGCCGCTGTTGTTGGTATGTGCAGAGAAATTAAACTTCTTGAACTAGAAGCTAAAACTTTCTATAAAAAGCTGTTTGCACATGGAGAAAGAGACATTGAGAATAATCAAAACAATATTACATCTCTTCTTTCTGATTTACAAGACCTATTTGTTTATGTGAATAGAGTATGGACTGTTGCACATTTGACAACTGAACAATTATCAAGTTTATCAGGTCATTCTAACGAGGTTTATTTGCCTGTATTAATAGAACACTACATCGATTTATTTGTAATTGTTCTAACATTGGATGAAATTATCGAATCTCAACCATCTCTGTTGGAACAATGGAAGAAGTACAGAATACATGTGCGTTCTATTATGCATAATCCATCTCAGTTTGGTATAATGGAATCAAAACTCCATACATTCGATAAATTGTTAAAGGACTTACAAGAACATTTATTAAAGAAAGTCATATTTTCTAGAACCATTGAACATGTAATGGATATAAATAAAGGTCCCATGATGAATGAGCAGATTACTAGTTATCTCAAAAATATAATGTTAGATGTAGAAAATAAGTCCAACAACGTTATAACTTCAAATAAAAATTGGATCAGAGTAAACATTGGTGTTGTTGTCGCAATGAAATTATTCGGTACCTGCGATAAAAGATTACTTAAAAGAGTAATTGAAAATAATAAAAAGTTTTATGCTGTTACTTTAACTGGAAGCGTTATATGGATACCCAGCAAATTTTTGTGTGAGTTTCTGCAGAAAGAAGCTGGTAATAGTGCTGTTACTCCCCAAATAGGAGACAAGATATTGTGCTTAAGGATACAGAAATTATCTCAGACTGTAAACAATTTAATTCATAAAGCTGTGACATGGTGCATCGAAATGCCACATATTCTGATGAAAACACATCTTCAAGTTTCAGATATTGGACAGAAACAATCTTTACTTGTAGATTTAGTTATTTTGTTATCACAAATTAAAGAAACTATATCTTTTATAATGAATATGCATGCTGCACTTATTAAACCAATGAATCGCAACACTGTTCAGTTAATCTGTAGGCTAATAGAAGTACAAAAATCTTTACAAAATACATTTTATATATTAGGACCACTTATAGTGCAATCACAAAGTCAGGTGTTACAATATCTGAGTTACTACATTTTAGTTGCATTAGAAAATGCACGGAAAGGTTTGATACAAAAAGATAAAGGTTACAGCAAAGAAAGATTAGATACATTATCGCTAATAGGTTTGAGTATGAAGATGTTAAATGGACCAGCAAGTGCAGATAGAAGACTAATAATCAGATGTGCTGTAGCATGTGCTAGTCAATTAACAGATACATTCAAAGAAGAAGATATGGTGAAATTAAGATTTTTGTTAGATAACTATGACACCATTGCTGAATTACATAGTATTGTTTCTGAAATCTGTGATTATTCTATATTGCTGCATCACCAAAATATAATTCCAGCTTACTTCTCTTTTGTAACAGATAGTAATTTGAATATAAATCACATTGTTCATCTGTTTAGTGCATTTAACAGTACCATTAGTGAACAAGAAGGATTAGATTTGAAGGAGAAAAGAATTGTGCTATTGAAAGAAATGTTAACCAAAACCATATTGGAACCTGTTTGCCGTGAGATTGAAACAGACTTGAGACTTCATGTTCATGCACATTTAAAATTGGATTCTACTAATCCATTTACTATTGGAGTAAAAGATGGTGGAAGAGTAATACAATCTCTGCCATTACCTCTAGCTAACAATATGATATATGCAAAGAGATTTATTGAACATTATCTCGATGATATGTTTTATAATCTTACTACAGTGAAACTACATGACTGGAGAACATACAGAATGATGCATGCTCTTGCTCATTATAAACTGAATCTTGATACTGTACAAAATCATTTACCTACACAAACTTTGGAACAAGGCTTAGATGCCTTAGAGATTATGAGAAACATTCATGTATTTGTTTCAAAATATTTGTATAATCTAAACACGCAAACTTTTATTGAACATGTTAGCAATAATAAACATTTGAATACCATTGGAATTAGGCATATAGCAAATTCAATTAGGACACATGGAACTGGTATTATGAGTACAACAGTTAATTTCGTATATCAATTTCTTCGTGTAAAGCTGCATACATTTTCGCAATTCCTTTTTGATGAGCATATAAAATCAAGATTAATGCGAGATATAAGGTTTATTAAAGCTCAAAGAGAAAATGGTGCAACACCTTACACGTATGAAAGGGCAGAAAAATTTCAAAAAGGAATTAGAAACTTGGGTATGACATCCGATGATTTAAGTTATTTAGATCAATTTCGGCAATTAATAACTCAGATTGGAAATGCGTTAGGATATGTACGGTTAATCAGATCTGGTGGACTACATGCGAGTTCGAATGCCATTTCGTTTTTGCCAAATATCGACTCGTCTGTATCATTTGAATTGTTGTGCAAAAATTTAAATTACAGTGCAATAACTCAAGCTGCAGCAAGATGCTTGGAGGATGATATTGCAAATTTGGTGCGAAATTTTACAGAGGGTATACAATATTTCAAACTTCTCGTCGATGTATTTGCTTCTGCTTTTCGAGATGCGGAATCGCATCATTTGCAACAATTTTATGCTATTGTACCTCCGTTAACATTAAGCTTTGTTGATAACTCGATATCAAATAAAGAGAAAATGTTTAAAAAGAACCAAATAGGTGCAGCTTTTACCGATGATGGTTTTGCAATGGGAATTGCATATATAAATGCTCTGTTAGATCAGTCATCAGAACTAGATGGTTTACATTGGTTTAAAACAGTTGAACAACATATAAATGCTGAAAAACAAGCTGCAGAAAGTAAAAGTGATCACGGAGATGAAAAATTGCAACAAACAAGAGCATTAACGCTAAAACGCTTAAAGGAAAGGAGTGCTGAATTTCAGTTACTCTATTACAGTTTGTCTGGGGCCAGAGTATTTTTTAAACAATCCGATACATAATACTTTAAAATGAGAAATACTGTAAGTTTAATAAAATGCATCATTGGATTGCTGATCAATCTTAAATTTAATTTTGTTTGATAATTTACACTATTACGATTTAAAGACCACGAAATTGTACATTATACTATACAATTGTATGTCTAATAGAAACAGCTTTAAAACATTTCATATATTATAAATTTTATTTTATTTTCATAATCCTTTTGTAACTTTATTATACATTACCACAAAGAAAATAAAGATATAGGTTTGTATGTTAAAGAAGGTCTGATTTATCAAAGGATCACTAAAAACTGTGTAGTTTGTTTTTATATCAGTATATTTGAGCTTAGTATTTCTTTAATTTATTTTTATGCCTGTGGCACATATCACTGAATTTGCAAACAGTAACTATGCTCATTTATATAAATGTTTTCTAAACCAACAATATTACAATGCTTGATATTTACTTTTAAATAAGTAATGGCTAGACGAACTGACTAGAATTAATTGCACTTACAACTATAGCTATAAATAACTGAGTATTTTAGAAAATGTACTTATACATATAACTCATTACCGCAACGGGAATATAAAACGAAGTCTTTTTTTCTACATTAGTGAATTTAGACGTCCTTCACGATATTTAATTTACAAGTAAATTTTCCTATAACTTACAAATTAAATACAAAATCACAAATATCAGCTGTCATTTTTACTCTTAACACTTTCGCTAAATCTTTTACTATGTTTGTTTAATATCTGTAAACATTGTTTGCTGTATACTTTAACAACATTTACTAATTACTACGAATAGTACCTTTCAAATTAATATAAATCATTCAAAGTTTCTATAAAACAAAAACAACTATAAATTTCTTAAAACAATATCAACATTATAATGGTTAATTTTATAAACAATATGCCATGCATAAAACTAATAAATTTCACCACTTTGCAGTAACAGAAAGAATAATGTTTTCCATCAAAGCTTCATAAGTCCTTATCTTAATAGTATAGTTGTAGTAATTATTGTTCTGTTACTATGTAGAGAGTGTACTTATTTGTAATAAGTTATTAAAATACGAAATATTTTGCAGCTTTGCATTTTGTTTTATATAATATCTAAGAGTATTAGTTCTATATTCTGCGTTTTGATCTTTCTGAATTTTTAAGTCAAATTGTATCCAAGCAACTTTATAAGTATTAGTGCATTATTTACTGCACAAAACATAAATGTGAATTGCTAATTAATTTCTAATTTACTGAATTTTTACAGGAAAAACGATTCCAATCTATATCTTTCTTCTTATTTTTCATTCAATTACGTTAATTTAGATATGCTTCTTCCTTGCTTTCGAATAACACATGCCGAAATTGTTTTCCATTAATAAAATAAGAAAGATGATAAAACTTTTAAGACTGAGATCTAGATGACTCTTCAGGGTCCAGTAAGTCATCGCAAGAAGCTGTCGGTGGTAGTAACTGCCTTCCTCCTCGTTTTTTATTGCGTGTAAAGACTTTAGTAAGTTGTGCAAATTTACGCCGAGACACTACAAGAATATAATCGAAGTAAAAATGATAGAATTATATAATTATTAGTAACTGCATGTATTAAGTAAATAAACTCTCATACTTTTGCCCATATTTTTGAGCCTTTCTTTAAAAAGGTCCTCATCGTCGTGACCAACCTGACCACTGCATTTTTCAAGATTTGTTCCTGGTATTTTTGCATCTAAAAAAAAAAAATATTCATTTAAGTGCTATTTACATAATGGTAATAATTATGGAAATTATGAAAGTATGCCATGTACCACTTTCTAAGGTTGACAAAAAATCTTCATTCCAACGTAATTCAGCCATGAATTCTTCATTCTGAAGAAACATAGCGATTCTTGCATCTTCCAACATGGAATAATCTGTCGAATACGCAGAATCAAACTTTTCTTTTGGAACTTGATGGGAAAGTTTAAGAAATGTCTCTGGTAATGGTCCTAGTAAAGCAGGTTGCCATTTATGTATATTTCTCAAGGACTTAACAGGGTCCTTTTTTGGTGATTTAGAGGTACTCGGTGATTTTTCATTTTGTTCTAATTCACTTCTGATCTTTTCATTTTCATTGTCAGTACTCATAGCAAGTAACTGATCAATTGTTGTATCTACAGCTCCTTGATTAGACCTTAGTACTGCCTAAATAGTAAAAGTAAGTAACATAAAGATTTTAAATAAAATCATTTCGCACATAAATTGAATGCCCAATGTAAAAGATTTATAACAATTGTTACGTATATATTTCTTTCATTTTATATTTCTATTAATTTATTTTACCTCAATCACATCATCATCCATTTGTGGAAACATGTTTTTAAAATCAGCCATTGCCTGATAAAATTCTAGGGTGGTTTGCTGCTGTTGCTGTTCCATAGCAGAGGCCATTTCGTAAATGATTATAAAATCGCTAATCTAAATTAAACGGTCAATTGTAACAGTATAATTTTGATGATTCTGCCGTGAATTTCGTGACACGATATCAGTTATCCTTACCTTAACAAATTGTCAAATTTAAAACGTTTCAAAAACATGAGTAGATAAATTATTATCCATAACGATGTCGGGTTTTGATTATTATATCCACGTCATATTACTTAATTCAAGCAATAAATTACATTTTACGATACTTTCTTGTTTAATTAATCATATTTCTGTGTATTATAATTAATTACTATTATTATATACCAGCAAGTTATACGAAATATCCATGCACATAATTGAATGTAGCACCTGACAATACCACTTCATAACACCTTAGGAAGACTTGTCAACTGTCAAACTTCGTTAGATCCTTTCTCATTTATCATATAGATAGCAAACTCGTCGTTTCATTTTTCCATTTTAACGGAGAATACGAAGCAACGATACTTCGACAAATCTATATTGCGTTCAACTCAAAGAACCACAGGTAAACAAACCATGCAACTGTGAAAGTATCTCATTGGTCCACATTGGTTTACTGCATTCTATCTAAGAGTATATTAGGTTTATTTCCGTTTGAAAATTATTATAAACGTTAGAGCCTCTAAAAGTAAGTTCTTTTATAATTTATATATAATCGAATTTTTGAATAATCAGTATACAGGGTGTCCAAAAAATGTTGTAACACATTGAAAGGGGTGGTTCGGGAGGTGATTTAAAACAAGTTTTTCCTTAGCGAAAATGTTGTCCGAGGCTTCATTAAGGAGATATTAACAGAAAACCCCGAACCAATCAGAGCGCGCGTATACCGTTGGAACGGCCGTGGTAGCGAAGGCTACGAGCTAAGCGGCCGTGTCCAATGTCCTTCGATGCACGTCGAGTCGCTTGTTCGCGTACAAGCGTGGCCGCTTAGCACATAGCCTTCGCTACCGCGGCCGCTCCAACGGTATCCGCACGTTCTGATTGATCAGTGTTTTCCGTTAATATCTCCTCAACGAAGCCTCGGACAACATTTTCGCTAAGGAAAAAGTTGTTTCAAATCATCTCTCGAACCACCTCTTTCAAGGTATTACAACATTTTTGGGACACCCTGTATGTATCCAGGGACGAATCTAGACTTATTGGGGCCTACAACTAATTATTTTAGAAACTTTTTTCATTTTCTTATATGTTTCGTGAGAGATGAATATAATTATTATGAAAATTATTAAAATAATTTTCGTCTGTCTTCGACCATATTATGGTCAAATCGTCTAGTACACTGAGCTATGCTAGTATTAGCTAGTATGCTAGTATCACAGTATGATAGTATTAACTCAGAGCTCAATGGCTAGTATAGTTCAGTAATGTAGTATATGTGGGTGTATGTAAAAAGAAATTGTCAAGATGGCGTCCAGTTCTGCAGGAAAAATACAACAAATTACCTACGAGAAACGTCTGGAGATTCTCCAGAAATTAGAAGAAGGTGTCTCTCCGGATAAACTCGCTGCTGAATATGGTCTCCACAAAAGAACTATACAAAAATATCGAAAAAATGCGACGTCGATTCGTCAATTTTCGGATTGTACTAGTTGTTTACATTCGAAAAGAATTCGACCAGTGCTACACGGAATTGTTGACAGTCGGTTGTACACCTGGGTTATGGAGAGGCGAGCGTTAGGAGATGTTCTGACGAATAATCTCTTGCAGAAGAAAGCGATGGAATTGCATATAGAATTCGGTGGTCCCTCAAATTTTGTGGCGAGCAACGGTTGGCTCGAGTGTTTTAAGAGAAGACACAATTTACGTCTTGGTGGTGTCTACCGAGAGTGGGTTGGCGTGAATGCATTTGCTCCAGAGAAATTTCCAGAGGAATTAAATCGTATATTAACAGACGAAGATATCTTTGAAGATGATGTCTATGTTATGGATGTGATGAGCTTAATGTGGAAAGCTCTTCCGCAAAGACTACTGCTTCATGAAGGTGAACAATGGGTGAACAGCAGAAAAATAAAAAAAGATTGTATCACTGTGGCACTTTGTGCCAATACTACTGGCGCGCACAAACTGCCAATCCTCTTTGTACACAAATATGCAAATCCAAGAGCATTAAAACATTGTATGCAACTTTTGCCAGTGGTATACAAAAATGAACCAAATAGCTGGATTACTGAACCTATTTTTAACGATTGGTACACCAATTATTTTAAACAGAGTGTAAAGGAATACCAGGTGCAACAGAATCGCGTAGGGAAAGTATTACTGTTAGTGAACAATTCGAAAGGACTCATACTCTCTGAAGAAGCACTGGAAGATTGTCAATTTAAGCAAATGTTTCTGCCATCCAATACAACTTCAAGAATGCAACCCATGGACCAAAGTATAATTACTAAATGCAAAAAGTTATTCAGGCACAAACTACTTTGTCGGGTATTGCAGCATGACATAGGAGTTCAACAATTTTATTTGGATTATGATATAAAAGACTGCATCGATATGATTGCAGAGGCATGGGACATGATAACAGCAACAACCATTCAAAATTTGTGGAGACATATTTTATGTCGATCGTCTTTGGATAACACTTCTGAAAGACAGGATTCAAATGACTGCGTACCAGAAGATATGCAACAATTTGGTGAAATAATTAATGAGAATGACATTACGGAATGGATTTCCGAATGTGAGAAAGAAGAATCCATAGTGATAAAAGAAGACAACACGGATTCGCAACATAGTGAAATAGAATCAGAAATTGATTATATATTTCACGGACTGGCTATCTGGGCGGAAACCAAGCCAGAGTTTATCAAATTAAACGCCAACATTTTAATAGATTATTTCAAACAAAAATAATACGTTTTTGTACATAATTAAGGGTGTAAATATAAATTTAAAAAATCCTGACCGCGCTACGGAAATACGCAGTCGCTTTTAGCTGAGCTACGTGTTGCGCGACAAAAGGTGCGCATAAAACTATTATACCGCTGAGTACTCGACGTACTTAGTCATTAATTGGCACCATGATTTAATTTCATTAACTGTATTTAAATCATACTTTTCTCGTATCATCATTTTGTTTACTATTTTTAATTCTTTGCACTTGGAGCTATTTCGTTACAGAATGTGCTAACAGGAATCATGTTGTATTAAATAATGTAACTTCTAAAGCACATATTAGAAAGTTTCTATCTTTTAGGTTGCAATCTTAGACTTTCTTGTTTATATGCACAAATTGTATCATTTTATAGTCGTCTAGTCGTGTTTAGCACGCGATTATTCGTATCGTCCCAAGAATGTGCAATATACACTGTGATCTTGAACTTTTCTCGAATATTTCGAGCAGTACTGAAAAATATGAATTATTAGAACAAGTTGCTTCTAATTTCAATTCTTCTCTCTGTAAATATTAAGTTAAACCGAAATTGTAAATTAGAAGAATTGTAATTGAAACAACGAATCGAAATTGTTTTTCAACTGCAGAAAATAAATTCAAATATTTATAAACTTGTCTGTTGGATTAATTCGAGAGGGCAGTCTGGTAATATTAAAGCAAAAAAAATCGATTTTGGTCCTTCGAAATTTAAACTTTGAAAGCATTTTCCTGAAACGATTGTGAAATCTGAAAAATTGGCAATGCTATAGAAATTTAAATTGAGAAAACTTTTCGAGATTATGGTGTACTTCGTAATTTCGAATCTTTTTTTAAGAAGATAGAACACTCAGAAATATTTATAATGTAGAACAGATTCTATTAAAAATCCAATTATGAACATTTTCAAATTCAGGAGAATGTATAAATGTGTTATGGTTGAATTATTTTTATCATAATTTTGAAGCTTTTTTTTCAAAGGCTGTAACACTTATATTTGAAATGAACACTTCGAATGTAATTTTCATAGAGTAACCCCACTTCTATCTCCCTCCGGGTCTCCGCTCGCAGCAACCTCCTCGTGGTGAGACCTGGTAATCGGTATTACTCGCGACAAACAATTGAATAACTTTGAAATACATAGTAATAATTTACAAAAAATCGTCGCGAGTAATAGCGAGCTAATCGGCTGCGAACGTGGAATAGTTTCAAATCTAACATTACAAGAGAGAAACCTTTTGGAATGGATAAGAATGGAGCTTTGAATGCTTTAATACAATTTAAGAATATGTATGCAAACAAAATGACAAACATTACATAGAGAACGATTCTTACAATTCTTTTTTTTAAACCTAAATCTAAGTGATTACTAACATAAACAAAGTCGGGTATATTAAGTAAACTGACAGGTCAAATAAACGTTCACTTTTACTAACTTTATAAATATATTTGTCTATTACCAAGCAATTGAATTGAAATTGCATGTTAAGAATTTTATCAGTAATCTCATTTTACAATTTAAGGTACAAAACTTTATATTTTACATATATACCTATTACATTTCCTATAAAGCACTTCATACCACAGCACATTCAAACAGACAGTTATAATTAATATTATATAAGTATTACCATAAGTAATACTAAGTACCATTATATTTGGTAAGTTTCTTTCATTGGAAATGAGACCAAACACGATTGTATTCTGACAACTTTTACATATATGTCAGATAACTTAAAATCATTTTCAATTATGCAGCAATATTGTGCTATTATGAATAATACATACTATGCCTCAGTCTATGTCTCAGTAACTGATAAACAATAAGAACTATGTAGTGATGTGACCAAAATTATTTTGATTTTCAAAAATTATTACACTAAAATAATAATCTACAATTGTACTAGAAAGTATAATTTCTGAGATGATTTTCGAACAAATTGTCTTTTCCTGAGAACCCTATAGAAATGATATTCTTGTTGACAAGTTTTGTTACTACATATCAGTCAGCATCTGAAGCTTGAAACACAAAACTTCTGTAACTTAACCTTAAATCAACAAAACTATTGCTGACAATCTACTGATGAGATCCAGTCCCATGCTAACATAGACTGGTTTTTAATGTGTCACATTTGAATCTTCTATACTTTTAGTTATAAATAATTATTTATTTTCCAACTTTTCCTAACTTAGTGTCAGTCTTAGGATTAGCGGTGATATTTTGTACGCGAACGATCACCTCATTAATTTTTGTTTGAAGATTTCTTATATCTTGAATATAAAGGAGGGTAAGGATCTTAGCCGCATTTTCTAATGCGGGTTTGTTCAGTTGAAACCCAGGAACGATGTTCATCACAGGGAATGGTTTGCCTCGAATAATTTTGGAATTTGGATTCTGCAAGCACTCTGGGTTTAACCTCTTCTGCACCAGTTTACTGCAGGCTTTTAACGAGAGCAGATGATTCAAGTGGTGTGGAACACGAAGTAGCTTTGCCACAGAGTATGTTCCAGTTTTGAACTCATTACTGTCAACTAATTATTTTGGAATAGTCAGTTTATGAATAGAAATTTTGTAAATTTCAAATTTTAAAAGTAAACAATGATTTACTTTTGTTTTATAACGAATCTTACAAATAACGATAATATTCATAATTAGTAGCAATGTAAAACACAAGAAATATGACAATTTTTATTATATTTAAATATTTAAATTAAAATAAAAGTACTTATGCAAGATTTGTCTTTTACTATAGGAAACTGAGACAAAAGAAATAAATTATCTAAAATCAATTTATAAGTATTAATATCTAATTTTTAAGAATTGTAATATTTTTATATACTTACAGTTTAAATTATCTAATGGATTCTTAGATATAAGGCGGGGTACCAGTGCTTCATTTTTCATTTTTATTTTCATCTCTTTCACATTTTCGGAATATTCCTCACCTAAACCACAGTTTACAAATTACTTTTACTATATTTTGAAAATAATTATGGACTGCAAAGGATTAAACTATAACAAGATCTTGATTTAATGAAAACAATTTCATTAAAATAAACACAGAAGTTTGATTGTAATTTTCATTTTCATCTAAATAATATAAATGTAATGGACAATCTTACTGTTATTTTCTGCTTCTAACCAGATTGCATGTCCAAGCAGCCATTCAAGTTGACTCAAAGCGTTACCAGAGACTGGACAGTTAACATCCTTACAATATGTTGAAAAAACATTAGGCCAATTCTCACTTTTTAAGTCACGTAACTCTTTACGATCTCGTATATCATACCGTCGTATTTTTTGATCCTCCAACCAAACAACTACTTTACGAAAGTGTTGAGGATCTGAAAAGTAAATCACATTAAATGACACAATATTTACCAAGTATTTAGATTATTTAATAAAACTAAATATTCTTGAACATTTCCAGTTAAAAACAAATACATTTCGAAATATGTACAAATCTGTTATTAATAATATAATAAAATTTGCTATTGAAATTAATATTGACAATACAAACCGTTCGCATTAACTTTGTCGCATTCCACATAACCAAGGACTTTAAGTCTTCTTTTGAACATGGTCGATTTGAAACTACTAAAAGTATCTCAAGTTGAATTAACAATTTAAAATTATGTAAAAATATCGTTAAACTGACAACAACGTATTAAACTATACAAATACACTATACCAGATGTGAGTGGAACCACGTTTCTAGTTGGTGAGTCAACTCCAGGCGCCGCTAGTAAGCAACACAAACATATCGAGCGTTCGGTGAGTTACCACCAACACCAACTGCTATGAAAATTTCAGCGTCGGTGTCGGTAGCCGTCGGTTACCGTTGGTACTCGTCGTAATTTAAAGTCTGCGAGAATTTCACTACACGTTACGTTTAGAGCAGTTAGAGCGGTTACTGGAGTGTAAACACAACTGTGCCCAACTAATTGCTAACAATTTTCCCTAGCAAAGTTCTAGAACCTGAAATCGATATACGATTTTTAAATAATGTATTCATATCAAAGCAAAATAACTTGGTGATTATAAACATTCACGATTATTGTACATAATCACTTGGTCTCGTATACTCATGGGAATACAAACATTTTTTCTCCAATAGGTGTCAAAAAAATAAATTGTTCGATATCGTCCTTATCATTACACTTGTATAAGTTTTGTTTATAACAGTTTATCATTGTTTCATGGCTAATATTATACCTTCCTTTTATTTCATGCATTTTATTTCATTTCATATGTATTTCGAATATCGTATTGAACGATAGGTAGCGGTATAAATGCTAACTTGTAATTATTACGAAGTACATTATCTACGTATTACATATTCTATAAACCAGGAGGTAAAGCTGAGTTGCGCAGGAGTGTTGCGCAGTCAGTCAAGCACAGTCCACGGGCAAAAGTAGTGGGGCTGCTGAGAAGAAAGATGGCCGCCACCAGCGAGGAACGGAGTGTTATGGAGGCTTCTCAGACGAATCCCGGGCAAAATCAGCCCGTTGATCCTCTCAAGATGCTCTATCCGATGGTTAACGAAGAGGAAACGCCGTTGCCAAGGTCTTGGAGTCCTAAAGACAAGTACAATTACATCGGCCTCTCCCAAAACAATCTTCGTGTTCACTACAAAGGTACGTTTGCTCGATCTCGTTCTTTCGCAGCGATTTCTTTTTCTCCTGGAAAATTGTAATATGAAATTTTTTTAAAGTTCTTATGATCGAAGGATCGAGGAACGATCTTGGCCAATAGGATTCGATTGTTGCTCGATATGGACGAATCGTTGACGAAGCTGTAATATCGATTGAAAATGGCAGGGCTCCGTTTCGCGTGTGTCAGCGACCTAAACAAAGGAATCAGCTGATCGGTCGTAGTATCTATTCGACTTTCCCTCGGTTGTCTATATTTCTAATTTTGCTTCGGGATTTTTCGTAAATGTTTCTCGTCAGTTTACATTTCCCTTGAACGTATCACGCGCGTTGAATGATTTTTTATGAAATTCGTGCAAAAAATGAATCTGCGTAGGGAAGGCGCAATGACAATGACAGCTGCGATGTTTGAACAGTTACTTTCCTCTCTCTGTCACTCTCACTCCCCCCCTTCCACCTTTTCTTTGATGTCGACTAGTTTCGAAGTATACATATTTTTATACTAAAGAATTCACATTACATATTTTTCAGATTCACTTGATATAACTTGTAAACGGTTCTAAGCATATCCCATCAGTTATTCTTGCTATCTTATTTCCAAATAGAATTCATAATTAAACACTAGGAATTTTTTTGCTTCATACTTAACAGTATATAATATTAACAGTGTCGAATGTAGTTAAGAATATATTTTGTTTTAAACAAATGTAATATATTAGATTATATTGTTCATTATTATATTTTTTCATGTATAGTATATAATATGGAAATCACATGATATTTTAATAAAATTAATTATGCTTCTTATAATTCTTCTTCTTCTTATTACTTTTAGCTCTCTATCAAGGTTACTATACAATATTAAAACAAAATCAGACATGATCTTGTTCGTTGTTGCAGAAAATTTATCTTTCAATAAACTTATTCTAAGGAATAGTTTCTATTGTACACACCATTAACTAATAACTTAATACAAGCATTCCACATTGATTACAGTGCTGAAATAAGTTGTAAATTTTGTTAAATAGCACAACTTACAGTACAGCTTGATCATTTTTATTACTTTCAGTTATTTTTGTTGATGAGAAATATTTAATAAATATATTAGTCTATCTGGTAATTATTTATTACAATCCCACTTTCATTATTTAATTCATATAAAGCAGTTTTATTCTTTCAGTATCTAGAATATATGTTTCTTAGAGAATACATGGATAATTACAAACATGTTACAAAATAATATTGAAATTTAATAAACATGATTTTTTACTGCATATTATATGTATTATATGATTAGAGTAATAAAAAGAGTTTCAAAATGTACATCTAATAAACTATTACAATTCTTCTGTACAATTAATTAAGACTAAAATATACCTTCATATAATTACTACATATAAAATTATGTATAAATTATTGGTAACAATTAAATACAAATAATATTTTTTTAAACTTTTAAATATTTCAGTTTGATAATTAATCATTTTTCTGCTTGGAATCCTAAAATAAATGGTTAATATTTTTTACAGGAATAAGTATGAATATATTAAATAATTTTTTACTGTACCATTTTTGTAATTTAATAAAATATAATGAGAACTTAGCATTATGTAATAAATATTTAATTAATTCATTTAATTATGTTGATGTATGCATATATTGATCTCACAATTAGCTCATTAATTATAAAATTTTTGTATTGTATTAATACCAGTACTATTTATGTTAATGTTGTTATTATGTTAACAATGTTTATAAAATAATTAGTATAATTTATCACATAAAAACAACACTATAATGAATATATGATGATGAATAACGTTTCAAATGTCTTTTCTTGCAATTTTCTTTAAATAATGTAATTTAAAATTCTATATTTATAAGTAAATAGTCTACTAGAAATGTTTTGAAATAATGTGTATTTTGTTTTGTATTATATTTTTTCTTGATAAATAGCAGTGAAGTTTTATGTAGCAATTAATGTTATAATAAATACAATACAAGCAAGCTTTATTTTAAGTAAATATTCAACTCTTAATTTATAAAAGTGATTTTTGCTTTTGTCATCTGAATGTCTTAACATAGATGTGATCTTATAAAACATGATACACTTCTTTTTTAAATTAAAGAACATGTTTCTCCTTTTATTATCAATCCTTGCAATTGTCTTTGTTGAACTCAAATATCAGTTTGATAAATGATAATTCATATGTTTCAGGTTATGGAAAGACTCACAAAGATGCAGCAAGTGTGCGTACAACACATTCTATACCAGCAGCTTGTGGTCTCTATTACTTTGAAGTGAAGATAGTCAGTAAAGGTAGAGATGGGTACATGGGAATTGGTTTGTCTGCCCATGGAGTTAATGTTAACAGGCTGCCAGGGTGGGATAAGCTCTCCTATGGATATCATGGTGATGATGGACACAGTTTCTGTTCCTCGGGAACAGGGCAACCTTATGGGCCAACCTTTACTACAGGCGATGTAATCGGCTGTGGTGTAAATCTCGTTGATAACACTGCCTTTTACACAAAGAATGGACACCATCTTGGTATCGCCTTTACTGATCTTCCGGTATGTAAGAAATTCTTTGTTGTCCTAGAAAATGTATTAATTTTAGAATAAATTAAAACTAGTTTAGAATATTATATATATATTTAAAAATATCATTTCTAGTAACAGAGTTTCCTGCTGATCTTTTTATAATATATTTAAAAGGAAGAATATTTAATGATAATTATTGGTTTTTACAGCCAAATTTATATCCAACTGTTGGTCTCCAAACACCAGGGGAGGTAGTCGACGCAAATTTTGGTCAGGAACCTTTTGTTTTTGACATTGATGATATGCTTAATGAACTTCGTGTCAGAACAAGATTACAGATTATCAACTACCCAACACCAGATCATGGACAGGGTCAGTGGCAAGCAGTTCTTCACAAGTAAGTTTAATTTTTTTTAACAATATCATTAAATCCAAAATAAATATTTTCATTGAGTTGGATTATACCAGAAAAATTATTCAATTTAGTTTAAGTATACAACAATTTCCAATAATTTTTTCCAGAATGGTCTCAACATACTTGGTTCATCACGGTTATTGTGCCACTGCCGAGGCATTTGCCAACAGTACCGGTCAGGTATTTGAGGAAGATTTCAACTCTATAAAGAATAGACAGAGTAAGTCTTCTTTAAAACTTATTTTCAATATTTTTGTTTGCTTGTAATACATATAACTAACTATGCGAAATAAAATGTATTTTCATATAAGTAGACATGTGTCTAATGTATAGGTAAGTAGGTTATTTTGTTTTCATGTACTATGTATAAATGATACAAGTAAATATAATTAGAACAGAAAGTATATTATTTGTTATGTTTGTTTCAGGAATTTTAAAGTTGGTATTGGCAGGTAGAATGGGCGAGGCCATAGAGTTAACCAGTCGACTGTATCCTGGTCTCCTCGAGGAAGACCCGAATCTTCTTTTCGCCCTGAAGTGTCGTCAATTTGTTGAAATGGTGAACGGTAGCGATTCTGAGGTTTGTCAGAATTCCAATGTTAATCAAACCAGTGTTATACAGTCTACAAAGGCTTACACCAAGTCCTCAGCGAACGGCAACGTCGAAGAAATGAATATCAGCAACACGATTAATGGTTCTACTGAACAACAGTTTATAAACGGACAAATTGAAGACGATGTAGATATGGATGAGAATATAGTGAACGGTGTGAGAAATAACAATGGCTACCAAAATGGTGATTTAAACACCAATGGATATAAGTGTCGGAATGGAGAAGATGTCGATATGGGTGAGATGTTTTTTTGTTCCTTCTAAGTTTGTTAATTTGTTCGATACGGAGAGCGACATTAATTGTTGTTCACAAACGATTTTCAGTGGCCTAAGATAGGGCACAATCAAAATTATTTATAAAGCCATAACCGTATTCTTTCGAAATATACTTTAACATTTTTTCTACAAAGAAAGTTCATCTTTTTTCAGAAATCGACAACACTAATCAAATTCAACAACAACAGAATGGGAGTTGCAACCCAGAGAACACATCGAATAAGGCTAATAAGAAACAGCTGTGTGGTGGTGATAAACAAGCGATTGAGAAAATGTTAGAATTCGGCAGACAACTTTACTCTCAGTCGATACATCTGCGAACTCAGCATGGCAAAAATGAAAGCAATAAAAAAATGCTTCAAGATGCATTCAGTCTTCTTGCTTATGCGAATCCGTGGAATTCGCCGGTTGGATGGCAGCTTGATCCTCAACAAAGAGAAACTGTTTGTGCAAGACTCAATTCTGCCATACTTGGTAAGAGGAATTCATTTATATTTATTCCGTACATGAAGTAAAACAGTATATTAGAATATTGATTTAAAAAAATCACCATTCCTTTATGATTAAAATAAGTTGTATTCGTTATGAATAGAGTACGGTAAAGCATATTTTATGTATAAGGGTTTTTCTAAAAGGAGCTTTCACTAATATTGTTCTTATACAGGTTATTATATATTTATTTTAGTTATGTTAGACTTCAAACATTTGTTCTAAAGAAGACTTACTCCCATTCAAAATAATATCCTTCAAATCTTTTTTAAAGATAATTGTATACCTATTTAAATAATCTAATTATTATGATTGACATTACAACTGAGACTTTCAAATGATCAATTATCATTTGAAATTATTACTTGATTTTCTTTTTTTATACAATCCCTGTACTGGTCACCTTTAATAATAAAAGAGGCACATTCAGTGGTCTGTGGATGAGAAGATAGGAGGATCTGGTTATGTTAGAACAACTTGGTTGTAGGTACGCCTAGTGACATAATGATCTTATCGTGATTTCAGAATCGAGTAACTTGCCACGACGACCACCGCTGGAAGTCGCTGCGTCCCACGCGAGAGAACTGGTACGGCTGATGTCTCGCGCTGGTCTTGGGGCATGCGGCTTCGCGGTTGTAGACAATATCATCCAATATTGACGGTGCCTACTCCTGCTGCCACGTCTGCTTCTTCTTCTGCCGGCTCGAGTGTGGTTAGTAATTCTCTTAACGCGTACATTACGCATCGATTACGAGAAGCTGGGGATAGTTGATACATCTTTCTATGATTGACAGTGAAATATCAATGCGGGCATCAAAGTAAAGTGAATGCGTATGCGGTCGTTGTTAAGCCAGTAAGGAGAATTGTTACAAGAAGCGTCGAAATTTTTAAATTAAGCTATATTTTGTGATAAGAAGATATCATGCATATTTAAGTAAATACATTTATTAATTTTGTTCATTGCCAATAATAAAGTATATCCAATCTTGTAAGAAAAATAAAGGATTTTAATTTTTGTTTACTCATCTGTCTTTCATCTGGAATCTGCTTTTAACAAATTCTTTGCGTGTTCGTCTTGTCCTTACTCTTCTTATGGATTTATAGTTCTGCCTATGTTTTCATGATTATTTCGTCTTTTGTAGCATTGGTCAAAGCAATCCTTTTAGTGCAATATCTTTACTTGCTTGATTTTATTGAAATGTTTTTAATCGAATTTACGATAGAAGTGAATGAGAGGTAATTGTGATTTTTTATTATAATCTTTATAATCGAATTTTTAAATGACAATACAAACTATATTTAGGTTGTTACTGAGAAGTTAATATATTAAAAATGTGGATGAATCAAAGAGAGTGAATAATGAAATTTGAGCCATAATATTTAAATTGCTATTAATTGATATTTCCTGTGTATCAATTATCCCTAGACTTTCAAGAGAAACATTTTGCATCTTTGTATATTTCTACCTTTAATCTAGGTAATATTCGATTAGTCTTATAATTTATAATGATTTATATTTTGTAAAGAGCAATCTACATATGTAATGTATGTGCACGTTTGAGTAGGCACACAGATCTTTAGATCACAGATCTAAATCAGATCTTTTTATGTAATTATCAAATATTCGATTTTATATCGTTTTTTTTTTTTTTTAATTGTACAGAACGTTTTTGAAATAATGTATCATTTTATGGAATAGTTCCCAGAATGATATAAAATCTTTTGTGTCTTTATTGAATGACTAATTATTTAAATTTATCAGACTGCGTTGATTTCTATTTTTTTGTGAACATACACATGCATGTAACGAATTAATTGAAAGTACGGTGCTGTAATTAGAGGTTAAGATTAAGTGTTACGAATTTTTTTACATAATATATATTTTTATGGAGCATAATTCTACACTCTTAGCTAGTATCAGAAATAAAGTATTTCATAAAATTATAATTTTCTTTCTTGGTAGAATCCTAAAAATAATTGTTCATATCCCAAAGAACCCTTTACAATAACTGAAACACTATGATCCTGTAAATTGTAATCCCTTTTCATGTAACAGGTAATAGATTTTTTATATAAATGACCGCCTTAGTTGCGACGTTATTAATCGTAATATGCTCGTTGTATAAAATATAGAAATTAGATATACTTCTAAAATAATTTAAACAAACTAAAATATAGTTAGAAATGAATGTGTTTGGAGAAATTTAAAAAATGTTATATATATATATATATATATATATATTTGTTCATTAACTGGGATATTTTAAAAAGTTCTCATTAATCAATTGAACTAATAAAAAAGAATGGTTCATCTCTAAATTAAACATTGTAATAAGAATGTTGATTTTAATTTTTATATATATTATTTCCTTTAAATGAATGTAATCATTGTACTAAACTTTTTGTATAGATTTAACCTTGACAGTAAATAAGAAATAAGTTGTAGCCATCATAAGTTACCATAAGTCACCATCATAAAGACCTGGCATATCAAGAGTGCAGGAGTACATTTTTATGTGGTTCTGTAGTGAGTGGTAAAGAACATGTTTAATGGTTTGTACCCCTCAGAGTAGTGTTGCACATAATATTTAAGTGTACCCCTATTATTTCAATGTATTTCTTCCATTCAGCTCCTCCGATATTGCATTTTGATTTTAAAAAAAGACGTCTTATTTCATACTTGATCGATAACGATACGAAAGGTTTTCTTTTTTATATATATCAAAAAATACTGTCAGTCTAAGCATGTTATTCATATTTATCTGTGACAAATCATCATTTAGTCACTTTGAATAGACAAATCAAAGCAGAGAATTTAAGAGAATTACTCAACAGTTGTGGAACAGTTGTCTCAATGGAATTAATCCATTGTTTAATATTTTTTTATTAATCAATATTTCCAAGTATTGTATTGTATCATGTATAGGTCAGAAATAACGTTAAATAATTGACTTAAGATTTCTGTTTCTACCAGAACAATAATAAGAACAGATACTGATTGTAGCAGCGTTGTCTGTTTCAGGATGTGGAGACGGAACGTGGAGCAGATAATACGCGACATCGCGTGCCTCTTCAGCTAGAGTCCGCTCTAACGGCAGTTGGCTCTTTGGCTCGATCTCAGGCATACACTGAAACACAACGGAATATATATGTACACGGGCGCGAAATCCACCAAAAGGTACACGATGTTATGTCAGGGGAGAAGAAAAATTATGATAGTGGTGGTCACGTTCACGATGCAGCTGAAGGAGTGTTTGGCTACCGATACGATTAAAGGATACAAACGAGCGAGGATCATAATGTAATCGTAGCTACGAATAACGATAAATACGAAAACGTAAGGACATAATCGAAGTCAGACATTAGATAAAAATCAAAGATGAACGTTGAAGAGCTGGATGAGGCCGAGGAACGAAGGATAAAGATTAAGATGTATAACGCAAGATAAGAATGGTAATTGTGAAACTGAAACTTTGAACGAGATAAATTTTTCGTTAATGTTACAAATATAAAAACGAAGCTCGAAAGGAGTTTATTTCGAAGATGGAAAACGAGATTGTTGATCAAGATTGTAACGCAGCTAAATAGGAAGAGATGGAAAACAAGGTTGACCAGCGATGGTAATGGAAGACCAGTTTGAAGATCCAAATAAATTTGAGGACAATGATTTTAACACCTGCCAACCAAGACGACACTTTTCTCGTTTTCTCTTTTTAATTGTACAGCTCACCATCATTTTGGAGTTGTTCCCTCGTTCCCATAACCGACTGTCATGATGTACCATTATTATTACCATAACGAAACATGCTTTTATATTTCGTCTTGTTTTAAATGTTTTGCGAACGGACCGATGAATATTTCAGGTAGGTTTTTTTACTTATTTTATCTTCCTGTCACTGATCTAACATCATTCAAGCTTTTTCATATTTTCTAAGATTTGAGATCAGAGTAGTCGAATTTGACCTCTGAAAAATTGGTACAATCAATTGTAATATTTCTTTCTAAATTTGATTTTTCCTCATGATGCTCTTTAATTTTGCTCAAATTTAATTTTTATCTTCATTTATTCAGTTTCGCTACTCTCATATTCGCTAGACTGATTTTATTTAACTCTTTTTTTTTGTTAGTGTTTGCCATTTTAATGAAATTTTAGTTTTATTTAAATATAACATGTCTTTTTGTTAGCGAGGATAACCATGGTACTGGTCAAGTACATTTTTGCAATGTATTTTTCAGCTCGGTAATTATACATTTTATTGTAACTTTTAAATACATTGAACATAGATTCTATTGAGAGTAAAATAAAAAATGGTAATGTTGGTTTCTTATTCGTCTTAGAAATTGATTGTCCTCGTTTTGTGATTGTTAACTTTTTGTTCGTTTGAGATGACTTAAAGTAACAATATTTTTGGCATTATTATCTACAATGGTAACGTTAACTTTCGATTCATACTTTTTGTAAAGTAACAAATTATAACAAAATGGCTAGTATTTGAAGTTAACCATTACATTTTTGACATACAATTTTTCGATATTTTAACTTATAATGAAAAAATTGTCTAACCATACTGTAAATATTTTACATTTCTCATCCTTAATTCTTGGAGGTATTTAATTAGTTTGTTATTTTTTGTATATCAAAATCAAACTGTACGCATAGATTATGAAATTATAAATGTAACGTGTTTTATATCTTCCACTAATATTAGTAAGAAATTTCAGAATTTCATAAACTTGAACCGTGGTTATTCCTTTAAGTCAAATTTGACTTTTTTTTCTAACAAATCTTGTGTTTGCTTTTAAAATCCCGATCCACGCCAGTCCTGACTACAATCTGAAATTATGTTCGGTTCTGTTTGAAATAAATTTTAAACACCTCTGTCAGCCGCCATTCTTGTCGTAGGGATCTCCTTTTTATTTAAAAAACACAAAAAGGAAGTCAAGAAAAGTCTTGTCGATAATTATTACGATTATCAATTCTCATCGAATATTCTGGGTAGCCTTTCTAATCGTGTCGGCAATGAGTCGAATTTTGTATCAATTGTTAGTTTTTAAACGAAATTATACTAAAGAAAATATTCTTCAATTATTTGTCATTATTGCAATTAAGGGTAGAGAGATAAAAATTGTTTCGCGTTGATATTATTGAATTTCAACCGCGTAATAGATAAGAGCATTAAGATAACGATGAAGCAATAATTTTTAAGCTCTTTAATTTTGTATATTTTTTTGTTAATTACCATAAATTTTTACTATTTTCTATCGTTACGCTTTCGTACTCACGGATTGGCATTTTGTGTTTACAAATCGACCATAATCGTCATCGATTAACTGTTTAATCTTTGCTTTTTGTTTCGGTTGTAAACAAAAACTAATCATTAATGTTGATATATCGTGATTACGTGAAATTAAAAAAAAAAAAAAAAAAATCGAGCGCAGAAATCGATGAAAATTTCATGACCCTGAATTATTGTGAAATATCGAAAATTATGACAGTTATATAATAAAAATTAATAAAAGTTGTATAATTAAAGAGGACGTTGTAAAATAAGCGGTGTTTTGTATTTCTATCTTTTCGTTTCAATACAATATTTTCCAAACCACTTAGCTTATTTACGAAAGAAAAAAAAAAAATTTAGATATGCAACAGCGAATAAATCCATCGTGACTTTTGAACGATACAATGCCATCTCTCAATTTAAGTTTTAACGAATATTCTTCAACCAGTTAGTCGTATAGATAGATTAAACGAGAACGAACTTTTTATAATTATAATAAATTTTAAAAGTTAATAAGGGGTCTTTAATTAATAAATCAATACGGACTTTCATGTTCAAATAATATTGGGAATATTTTTCAGTTTAACAAAGTACGAAATTTTTAATCTGAATCGGACGTATTTTTTTGACTACATAGGTTATACGCTTAAATTATAAATAAAGACATGGCCGTATCCAGCTCAGAACGAAAGGGGGGCAGCTTTCTAAATTCAACTTTTTTCATAAAGAAGGAAGGTTCATGGAAAGGGGGCCCATGCAATGATACACAGTAACAAAAGACAGAACACCATTTATCTAACAAAAAAAAAAAATTAATATTATTTCTGTTTCACTTAAAATTTTGTCCACCTTTGAAGGGAGGGGCTGCTCCCCTTGCCCCTCCCTGGATACGCCCATGAATAAGGGTGACATTTTTAAACGAAATAAAAATCCGAGACCTTGCTTTTCGGGAAATATGTTTTTCAACGATATCTCGATTTGTACTGGTCGCCAATGGAGAGTTTGCACCTGACTGGAGGTAGAGAGGGCTGCCTTGACCTTCTGGAGCAAACTCTTCGCACGCGGACAGTACGTTTCGATTTTTCGATATTCGATATTTAAATATAATCGAATCCATCGCATCTTAGATTGTTTACGTTTAAATTATTGTAAGTGTGCCAATTTTTGATAAGCAGTGCTCTTATATTATGAATTTTGTAGTCGAATTGTCTTTTTATATTAAAAAGTCGTTGGAATTTTTGAAAAAAAGTTTCAATCCGATCGAGAATCTCAATTCTAGTGTAAAATTCTGTACTCACATGGGAGGAAGGGCGAGGGAGGGAGGAACGGAGCGGGGGGGGGGGGGAGAGGGTAAATTTCTACTCAAGGAACGAGGGAACGATTAAAATACATTTAAAAACAGGACGAAAGACGAAGCAAGAGAGGCGTGATAATTAATAATAACGATTCTAATTCTAATAACGACGGTGATTACGCAAATTGACACTCAATTAATTAGAATGAACAGATTAATAAGTAATACAAAAAAAATATATATATATATATATTATATATATATAAATACTTACGTACATATATGTACATGCATATAGATATGTATATACATTTAGATATGTATGTATGCATACGTATATACATATGTGTATGTGTGTGTATAAATCAATCTTGTATTCTATTATAAGTAATTGTTTTTTATATGCGACATAGTGTATTATTACAATACGTCATACGTATATGCATATATGTAGAGGTATATATAAACATGTATATGTGTATAAATGAAAACGAAAGAATTAATCGTATAATTAGCGTACGCGTGAGATTTAAGCAAAATTTGTTTATTTTATGTATATGTATTTGTATTGGCACACATATCGATATGTATATATGTGTGTACGTTTACATATATACAGGAGACGTTTCACGAAACGCGACAAGCTATTTTTTTTTCGGCCATTTTTAAAATTAGTTTTTGGATATTTTAAGGGTTACCATAACCTTTAATATCAATTGTTGTTTTAGCACCTGAGATGACATTTATTTGAAACATTTACGTATATTTGCATAGTAAAGGAGATACAGCGTAGTTTATAAGAAATAATGAAATGGATTTATGGTTATGGAAATAATGGATGAATGGTTTTTTTTTTGTTACTTCAACATAAATGAGTCATCGTTAATTAAAATTTTGAATTTTCCTATTTATCATTGTGACTACTATCGAAAGATTGGCGAAGTTTTTCCGACTAAAATAAGTTCAAACACATCCTTATTCTGACTAATGTTGTAGCTTTCGCGAAGAAACATCCAACAATCTTCAAATAATTTTTTTTTCAATTTAGTTTCTGGTTTTTAAGGTGACGAGTTCAAGCCAAGACATTTCGAACGATACCTAATTTGTTTAGTTTAGATCACATGCTCAGGGTAATTATGGCTATCGCAACATTTTTCTACATACGATTCTTAATTATTCTTATTTTCTTAATTTTTCATCCGTTTGTGCACCATAAATTCAAACAACGTTGAAAAATATTCGGGATGATATCTGTAACAAAATTAATAGGTGTTTGTAACTATACTGTTTCGAACATTTAATAAGACAATTTCTAACTTGGGATATAGTAATGTTGATGCTCTTTTTTTCCACCGTAACATTCGTTTTCTACAGGGTATTTTCAGTCATATTTCTTCCATCATGCAAAATATAGGAGAATGTTTCAAATATTCATATTTAAACGAAAATCACGTGCCATTCAAAATAAGAAAACAAATTCGACATCAAATACCATGTGTAGTACCTCCATGAACATTGATCAAATTTATTGCTTGGATTAATGATTAAAAACTATTTCCATTACTGTTCACGGTTTTTTTTTTCATTTAATCGTATCTCACTCGTTTTTTCGAATCCTTTAGTTAGTTAAAACACTAGCTCAATTAAATTGAAATTACTTTTAGAAAATATTTAGTAAACTTTAAAATAGAAATTTTATCGTTTTTCGAGAAAAATAGCTTGTAACACTTTACGTGATCCATCCTGTATATGCAGACATAGTAAATAATCGAATCAGCGAATAAGTGATTGAGAAAGGGTGGAAGAGTATGCGAGGTAGAATGTGTGTGTAATTTCATTGATTCTGAATGGAATGCGATGATAAAGTTCGACGACTTTTTTGTGTTAAACGTTTTTCTGTACTATAGGTAGAGAGTCACGAGTATCTTGCGAATAATACAGTATGATTTGGAGATATTGTTCGTTGAATCCTGTTTCTATCATTCATTTCTATAGGCACCCTGAGATTTTTTATTTCCTGTTTGTTAAAAAGCGAACAAACATTTCCCAAGAATATTCATGGGGTAGCTCTATTATTTAAATTTTTCAATTATATTTTTGCGAATTTATTATTTTCCAACAATTACGTGGTCCGTTGGAATAAGTTATTTTTGAAGAATTTCGTCTTTCTTTTTAAAGATATTCTGATTATATTTCATTATTTACTTTTAACGGTAAGCCGAAACTTGTTTGAATGACAAAACTTTTCGTTTTGTTCTTGAAAAAGGGTGTTGGTTAATAGAAGAGAACTATTACTGTTATTTTTATACATCGTTATAGATTATTGATTTTATTTTTCATCTATGAATATTACCGTTAGAGTCCATAGTTACTATTCTGCATTTCAATCATTTCAATCTATTTCAATGAATTGTATAGTCGTATTCTCGGTGCAGGTTTCTGTATTATTTACCGTTGGTACTTGGTTTCAGAGGTGTCTCGAACTATGTTACCATTCGTTGGTTATAAGTTCTTCTTTTTATCACAAATAATATCTCCACCTATGGTTTCATATTCTCCAGAAATTACCATAAAGCAACACATTTTTATCACATTTGGAAGTTTATTTTACGTTTTACAAAAATATGTAAAAGTATTTACATGATCAACAATCGATAAAATTTTAATAATGTAAATAATCATTTCTAAACAACGTGTATGAAATACGAGTGGCAGTCAGAACTGAATTATTTAGTTCATTTAATATTTCATTTCGAAACCCATTACTACTGTACGATTGTTTATACAGGAACGTAGAGATATTACATTTTAACATTGATATCGTCAACCTGTTGTTATAATTCCTGTTAGTTTTACAGTTACCATTCCGATCTACATAAATAAAGCTACCATTACATTTATCTACGGCGCAAGATTTCGGAAGTTTGAAACAGTGTACCATGTTTCTTAAGTGTCATCCACGGTCAAGTGCAGTGCATACCTTCTCTTGTAGCATTTATAGTACTTTCTATTGCTACACAGTTTTTTTTTTTAACGTAGTTAAATGTAACCTTCGCGTTTCCAGTCAATTTTAACCGAATTCTATTTAACAAGACGATGCACTTCAGTGCAATATGGACGTCATTGATAGTTCACGACGTATTGTGCTACCCTTTACGACTTTAATGACCCCACAAGCGCACATCTTCATTCGTTCTCACGTTGAATACAAATGAAACTCGCTACATTGACGGGGAGATTAGGTTGAGAAGATTTTGATAAATGAGATGGAATTAATTTTGAAAATACTCATAGTTGTCCGAATGTACTAGTGAAACGGATATGTAAATTAATTTATTATATAATTTTGGAGAATATATTCAAGTATTTTATACACTTAGCGCAGATTAGTCGTAATTTTTAAACAAATCAAAACCAATTCAATTTTATTTTATAAAATTCTATGCATGTATGTATACATACAGTATGTCCCACGAAATCCTGGACAGCTGATTATTTCGTAACCTATTAAAGATACGAAAAAAGTTTCTTATATGAAATTGAATGGCACGAGGGGGCCGATTTATTGGCCGTAACAATTTTTTTTTTATCATTATTGTTTACAGAGATATGAAAGTTACGTTTGGTTTTTCAAATGGGATTATATACTTTTTGTTTGATCAATAGATAGTACGTTTCAAGACGAATTCGGCAAGCTTAATGTAAACATCCTTTTACAAATAGTTTTTAAGATATTACGCGTAAAAGTTTACTGATTTTCGGTACAAGAAAATCTGGGAGACCAGGAAGCACAGTAGGGGGTCTCGACTCTCGACGGGTTAGACGATGCCTCTTGAAACCGATACGAAGAGACTGCGGTAGGAACGGCAGGCCTAAATTCTACATAATAGTTTTTTGCCAGCCAAGGCATTCTTAGATCATCAATACCCATACTTTCTCTCTCACAGACTTTTAGATAATTTGTCAATTTAAAACTCTGACAATATTATGAGTACACTTTCATTGTTTTGCGTTTGAACATAATTCTTATTCATCGACACCTTGACCTTGCCTGGCCACGCCAAGCATTTAACTTCCAGGCCGCGGAAATCTAGGCAAATCATCTGGCAGCTTATTTCGATTTCACATCTTTTTCTATTTTCTTGTAGTTTTTTATGGGGATCTTCTATTTTTCAATGATAACTCCTTGAATCCTCCACTTTTTCATGTACTTCTATAAACTCTGTACTACTTCGATATTTCTGTAAACTCTACATAAGAAGTCTAAATTATTATTTGTTTCTTTAATTAAAGAAACTCTCTATTCAATTAAAGAAACAAATAATAATTTAGACTTCTTATCTAGAGTTTACAGAAATATCAATTATATTTATATATATATATTTGATATTATTTATTAATTATAAACACTTATTTGTTCAATTTATAAATAATTATAATACCTGCAATTTTTTTTCTTGCTGCAAAAAATTTTAATGTTAATGATGAAATGAGAAAACGACTCCATTTCTATAAGCTCTACATAAAAAGTCTAAATTGAAAACACTAGTGGTATGGATCTATTCTGTAAGGATCTGACAATTCAGATTTTGACAACTTACCTTGTAATCAAGATCGATCAACACTTTACAACACTGGCTGTAATTTCTTATTAAACCCTACATAAAAAGTCTAAATTGAAAACATTTTGCTGATATAAATATAATTAATAATGCGATAGTGTAAAAATTTTTGACACTTGACAGGTTATGAATGATGACATCTGTTTCGACTCTCGACGCTCGATGGCCGACGAGCCATGCCGAACCGAATGATTTCGAGAGTCGACGAACGACACTCGGCTTTTGCTTAGCTTCTATTGGCTAAGGGTTGACGATGGGAAAATCATACGAAAAATACAGTTTCTGACAGATTCATGACATGATATTACGATATTTCAGTTGTTCGTGGACCAATTTTATTGATTTTGGTTTTATTCGAAAGCTTATACGCGGTTTACATGAGAAACATGCCTTTAAATTTAGTAAATATTGCAGGCGTGTTGAGATATTCATGAAAGAAGTTTCAGGTTAGGTTGGAATGGACCATCTCTCCTGTAAAAGATATAGCTTTAACGCCATATATACGCGGTGACGGATAATTTTTCATGTACTTGGCGCCGAGACGCTACCGCGTCTCTAGATAACTGCTCAACGAGCGAACAGTGTCGAGAAGTGCGCACGAACCCGAAACGATGGGTTACAGATTGACCCGTCACGCAAGAATGCCAGCGGTGACGAGTGGGTTGTGTCAGTTAACCCACCATGGCCCTGGAGTTAACACGCGCGAAACGGTAGTTCCCTATAGTTTAATTCGTGGCCAGGTCACCCAACCTCGCGGCACGGAAATATCCAATACAGGGTGTCCCAAAAATGTTGTAACACATTGAAAGGGGTGGTTGAGGAGGTGATTTGAAACAACTTTTTCCTTAGCGAAATTGTTGTCCGAGGCTTCGTTGAGGAGATATTAACAGAAAACACTGACCAATCAGAGCGCGCGTATACCGTTGGAGCGGCCGTGGTAGCGAAGACTACGAGCTAAGCGGCCGCGTCCAATGTCCTTCGTGCACGTCGAGTCGCTTGTCGCGTACAAGCGCGGCCGCTTAGCTCGTAGTCTTCGCTACCACGGCCGCTCCAACGG